ATCGTTCCCGCCCCCTATCCACCCTGCACCGCCCCCTTTGCTACTAAAATATTGTTTCAAAACATATTTTGTTAATATCAATTTTCAAATAATAACAATCGAAATTATTTTCTTAAGAAAACATTTTTCTTTCTACCAAACAATGAAAAATATGATTGGAAAATAAGTTTCTTTGAAAATCATTTTCCCTTGGAAAACATTCTTCAAGGAAAATATTTTCCCTCTAACCAAACACAACCTAGGCCTCTATTTTACCTTGGTGTAGGGATGAAGTCCTCTGCAGCCATCTCACCCATCATGTGCTTATTGTATCCTCACTCGCACTGATTGAACATTCATACAAAGACAATGACCATCCCTAAAACTACTCTCTTTGTCCTGAAAAAAATTTTCCGTTCAAAGTTACAATATTTAACTAAAATTATTTTTAAATCAAATAAATGACAACAACACTTCCATTTTATTTTACCAAAAGGGTATTGAAAATAAGCAAAAAAGAAAGTCCCTCTTCTGACATTGTAAATAAATCCTCCCTTCGGATCGTCCCGTAAACATTTTTGCTGTTGCGAGTTACGATCTTTGAAAGTTATTTTTCAGTTTATATAAGAATTGATATAAATTATAAAAAACAAAAACAAAAATTTATATATATTAGAACAATGTTGAATTAATCCTGTGGAGTAACTCTGCATATATCCAACAATCCAGATTGAATCTAAGGAATAAATTAGATGGGCAGATATCTGAAATATAAAAAAAAAACTTACCTTTTATGAAACTCTTCATTTATCACGAGTAGATGAACCTAAAGTGTTCCACAAACTCCCACAAGTTGTGATCACAGTGATTAGAAAGAGATTAAGAAATAAATCAATTTAATTACTTGAGCTGAAATGTATGTATAAAGCTATAGATATTGTGAATCAGGATTAAATCTCAAAATGATGAGAATAAATATGGAATAATATTATTTTTAATACTTTATATTAAGGAGGGTTTTTGGGGAGGAATTAACTAACTGTAGTGTGTGTGTGTGTTTATTCAAACTCGCAGAGCATAAGAATAGGATGTATAGCTACAAATGGGCCAAATGTGTACCCAAAAAATGTTAAAAGTTGTGTCACACAGCTAAAATTGTGACACATAATGATGAATTTTTTTTTTTTGGTATTTTCATTTTTCAAAGGTATTTTCTTTGATTGACAAATTCTTGAAATGAAGATAAATACGAAGTAATATTTCTCGCTGCATTTTTAGGGAGGATAATCAAACTTTAGAAACTTAAGAATAGGAGGTTAGTTCTTGCACTTTAATTATTCATTATTGTGTGTTTCGTTTTTATTTTTTCTTTTCCGGATATAAATAAACCTCTCAAAAAGTTTTTTTTAGGGGTAGTTACAATAATGGTGTACCCAAAAAAAGTGTTAAAAAGCGTCCAAAGTGGTAATATTGAGCAACCAAAAAAATTTAATGCTTCATTTATTTTGTTTATTTATTTTCACTAATTATTTCATGATATAAAGTAGTCATATAAGAACTTTTCACTACTATGGAAATACTTTTTTAAGTCAGTTATTTTTTACCTTTTGCATCAGTTCTTTTTCGATGCACAAAAGTAGCAATGTAATTAAGCAAAAAATTTTTGCATCGACTATTTAACCAATACAAAAGACTCTTTATGCGCATAAATTTCGTGCTCTTGTAGACTTTTTGCATCGGTTATTTTGCAATAACTGATGCAAAAGGCCTTCTCAAGAAATTAGTGTCAAATTGAGAAAACCTTTTGTGACGGTTATTTCGAAATAATTGATGCAATAGGTTGGCTTTTTTATAGTAACTGAACAGAATTTTACAACAAGTGCAGTACAGAATTTCACAATACAAACTTAATTTACAGAACAATTCGCTACAAGTGAAATACACATTAACGGGAGTTAAGTTTGCTTCAACTAAACATCCACGCGTATATAAGAACAAAACAATTACAAATAAAATGACATACAATCAAACTTACAACATAAAACATAACTGTCATATCCAAGATATCGACTTAAGCTAAATCATCAATAAATTTACCAGCCTAGAACAACTTTTAAACTAAATTTTATGAAGTTTGTTTAATGTATAAATTTTGAACATTTTACGTTTAAGCTTGGTAATTCAAGTTTGGATGGAATACCAAACGAGAGTATAAATATATCTCTACTTATATATAACAGTAGCAGAAAAAATTAAAGAACCATTCTCACCCAATGAAACGAGAAACTGTCACTCAACCACAAGTCCTATCTCAGAGTTCGCTCTCGGCTCCTTCACCCGCCCTACTTCTATCCCACTCTGATGCTACTCGTGCGACCTCAGCAGACGCCAATAATATCAAGTCTAGGGTCAAGACAAATACGCATATATGGTGCTAACTGAAAAAAAAGAGTTAGAAATATTATCTAACCTCCCCCCCTTTATCTTTTTAAGCATTATTTAACAACAAATTTTTATACGTGTTGATTTTACGGACACTCTCTTTGAGTAGCTACGAAAGACACTGGACAATTGAAAGTTTACAAAATTAAAAGTTCATATTCCCTTCTTACCCCTAGTAAACCCCTTCTTCCACCCAATCTTGACCCTAACCCATTCCCTCATCTATGTCAATTATTGCACCCTGTGAGTTTAATTAATTTATATGTCAAAAGTTTTGATCCTAAAATCAACTAAATTTTTGGATGTAATTGATGTGAGTGGGGAATAAGTTGGAGTAGGAACTGGAGGTTTATCTAAGAATAATAAAAATATGAATTATCAATTTTATGAACAAATAAAATAGTATCCTCCTGTTTCCAAAAAAATAGTATCCTCCTAGAACAGAGAGGGAGCCGATTTTTATACTCAGTATGTAGGGAGTAATTAAAGTTCATTGCCAACCTTTTGTAATCCATACAAATATACAATTATACAAGTCAAATTAGCACTTGTTTACCTTTGTAAACACGTTAATGGCTGGCTAGCTTGCTTCCAAAATGTAAACACTAAGCTGAGCCAAAAAAAAAAAAAAAAGGACCCAGCGGGCATGACTGACTTTTGGTACAGTTGGACCACCCTTTCTTCCTATTTGGCCCCGGGCTCTGTTACATTTTCTTCTCAGTTCTGACAAAGAATCCGTTTTTCTTTCTTTCTCTCTTCTCTTTTGGGTGTTTCCAGTTTTGATCAGTCAAACCCGCCCCCCAGTCCTCGAAGCTAAACCAAACAAAACAAAGAAGAAAGAAGAAGAAGAAAGATGAAATTTTAAGCAAAATAGCGCAGAACTGGGTCAAGTCTAGACCTCGGCCCAATCCGAGCTCAATTCCATTCACACCCATAGCGATTCCGCCTTTCCTTCATCCAATCGCGAGGTATTGGATTCGTATACTGAATATGCTATCGTTTCTTTTCGAATATGGGAAAATTCAGAAGATCCAGCTGTTTTAACTCGGATTTAGTCGAATATGTTCTTGTTCTGATCATTTCGGGTTCTTTGATAGGTCAGAGGTTGGATGAAATTTGAATTCTGTATTTAATTTTTATCTTTGCTCAAGTTGGGGGAAGGAAGGATGGGAGCAGTGTGCGCAGGAGGAACTCAGAGGAATAGGTCGGAGGTTCATGAAGAGAGGAACTCAGTGGGCTCTAAGAAGCTCAAATCTATGAAGAGTTTCCTGAAAGAGGACAACAATGTTGAATCTGCTGAATATCTACTAGATGAGGGGACGACCGGGAGTGCCCGTGATTATAATGACCATCTCCATGATTCTGTTGAATTCCCCCTGTCCATCTCTAGAGAGTTGAAGCCTTCAACTCCTGCCAGGATCAGAACTAGTACCAAGGTATATACACGCATTTGGATATGCGGTTTTGGCCCGGTTCGGGAACAACCTTTTCAATTTGCACTAGTGTTTCTGTAATTTTAGTTTTGAAAATGTTAAAGCTAAACACTGCCGTTGCATAGGTTTTTTCAAAATGCTGATGTTGTTACCAAACGGGAACTTTTTTTATTTTTTGAATATCATATTTTTGGGTGCTTATTATTAGCACGGAACAATATATTAGTCAATTCAAATGGCTTTCCATGAGGTGTTTATGTATTGACCGTAGTATATAGATAATGTGATCAAACATCTTAGACCTACTCTAATGTAGTACTCCGTATTTGCTTAGACTTACACGTAGTATATAGATAATGTGATCAAACATCTTAGACCTTTAGTTTTCACTGGCTTAGTCTATATCTTGATAAATAGAATGTTTCTAAAAGCAAATAAAGTGTGGTTTAAAATTATGTTAGTAACTCTATTGTACAACCACACACACACACTACTATATTCTTGTACACACTTTAAGTCCGTGAGCAATTCCTTTCTGATTAGTGATTCGTATAAGTTTTGTTTGGTGCAAAGTTGTATCTATTTAGTGAGCAATTCATTGTTGGTTAGTGAGGGCAAATAAGTACCTGATCATAAGTACTTGTATACTATGTACGTTGTAATATTTTTGTATATATGGTTGTAGGAGAGAGTTTAACTATGTTAAAGAAATATATTTATCACTTGACCCTAAAGTCCAAACCCCTCCAAAACTGTTTATCCAAGCAAACCTTTACATTATGTTTGGTTCAAGGAATTTGAGAGAGAAAAGAAAAGAAAATGAGAAGGAAAACATTTTTCTTGTTTGGTTAGAGAGGAAAAGAAGAGAAAAAAGGAAGGAAAAGAAAGTGAAAAGGCAAAATGTACTAAGGGGAAGGAAAACCAAATTCCTCCCATTTTGGTGAGGAAAATGAGGAAAAACCATTTTCTTTTCTTCCAAATTCCTTGCAGTGTTAGAGAATTTTGGTGTTAGTGTATGAATAGAAAAAAAAATGAAAGTATATAAGACTAGTAATTTGTAAGCAGTGAATGGTTTTGTTCCCTTTTCTGTCTTCACATGCATATGAGTAACCTAATCTTCTTGTGACAGGCACCTCACGTTGGTTCTTTTCTTGGTAAGGCTAGCACAGTTGGCCTAGATATGGCAGTGGAGGTTCTAGATACATTAGGCAGCAGCATGACAAATTTGAACACCATCGGATTTATTTCTAGGACGGGATCAAGAGGGAACAGAATATCTATACTAGCATTTGAAGTTGCAAACACAATCACTAAAGGTGCAAATTTACTGCATTCATTATCCGAAGAAAGTGTCCAGTATTTGAAGCACGAAATTCTACATTCAAAAGGTGTGCAAGAGCTGGTTTCTACAGATTCCAATGAGCTTCTTGCTATAGCTGCTGCTGACAAAAGGTGTGTATTTTTTTGTTAAATTCCCCCTCCCCCCCCCCCCTTCATCCATAATGATAAAAAGGAAAACTTAACAATATGTTTGAACTATTCTTCCCTGTTTGGAAC